ACCGCGGGCGCTGCGCACCCGCCCGGCGCCGCGCCCCCACCCCCCCCCCCCCACACCCCCACCCCCCCCCACACCCCCCCCCCCCCCCACACCCACACCCACACCCCCACCCACACCCACACCCACACCCACACCCACACCCACACCCACACCCACACCCTTAAGTTTAATCTAAAACTTATTGTAGAAAATGACTGTGATATTGAATCATCGTTAGTTGCTGCAAGATTTTGATTCTACTTCATAACTGCTTCAATTTTCTGTGATATAGACATGAACGAATGATACATTTGACGAGCAGAAAAACTGAGTAGCAAATAAGAATGATGATTGCGAGTAGTGTGAGTTGTACATCCAAACTAGATGCAACAATAAAAGGCAACTTATGTTCGTTGGTGATCAAATGTGTATAGCCTGTTATCAACCAATTATCAATCAATGTAGCCGCTCGTCGCGTTCCTCCTTCGAATTCACTTACCTGATGTATTCGACGGAGACGTGAAACAAATGTATCATAGTCTGCAATGATCATGTTGATGTAAGAGGCGAGCTTCTCGGCTGTAAGCACATGCCTCTCAATTGCATACCCGATCTTAGCTTCCATGATTTTAGCGGCCATAATAAGTTGATCAGCGAAACCAGGTACTATTATTATTGGAATGTGCGCGTATATTGCCTCTCCAACACTATTTAATCCACCATGTCCGATGAATAAACGCACAGAGGAATGTGCCAGTACACGCTGTTGTTCGATCCAAGGCACAATAAGTGTACGTGATGAATTATCGACTGGAGACGATGATAAATTCTGAAATTTGGAACGTATTGTTTGTTGAGGTATTACTAAGAGAAGACGCATATATGGTACGAGTTCCAGTGTATCGATAATGGTCTGCCATATTTTTACGCGAAACACGTTCAACGTGCCAAATACAACGACCACAACAAATTCATTGGGTGTATGCGTCATATTTAGCCACGCTTCCACAATATGTAACTGCTCATCGTTTTCCTTCTATAAATATTATAATAAACAAATTCTCAATCTCAAACACATCTGTAAATATTAAGGCATAATAGTTATGCATCGAAACAAAGTGCAAATTCAGTTTAAAGGATCCTGGCGAAAATGATGACTATGTCTGAATTAAGAAACGAAATATATCATCTTGTAGAGCTTTTCAAGGCGCATCTAATGGTATATAGAAACTCTATTTTCCAACAAGTTTATAATAAGTTAGGTAGAGTTTACTGATGAGGCGATATGACTCCAAATAGTGATAAATAGCTGCTCAGTGTTGATCAACATTGTTAATCGATGGAGTTTGTAAAAATGATTTTCTATATACAGTTGTATAGAGTTTTTGATGGGCTACAAGTTGATATATTTCACATCTTCATTTACCTATTATTAGAGAAAAAATACAGGGGATTACTTATCAGGTTGACAGTGTTTTTAACAATAGTTCGTAATTGTAGGCTCTTTTGTATTGAATCGTGCTAATCTCAAGAGATGTGACCACTCGTGGGACTTTGTCAGAAATTGCGGCTTAGATATGGCTACAAAATGCACTATTTGGTAACTCTTCCATGTTTGTGCGAGATCCCTAAAATTGCTCTACATTCAGAAATCTCCATCAATTTTGACTTCAATTTCCCTCTTTTCATACTTTACCTCGACATTTTCACTGTCAATGTTTCATTTTGATGCAAAACAAACATGATATTCGGAATCAGCATAAAAAGTTGTATCGAATAGCCTATATTTCATCTAAATATTTTTCCACCGAAATTCGACCTGTACTCCCCCTCAGCCATTTTTTCCTAAATTTCGCCCTGGGGCCCCCCACAGGTCGAATTTCGGTGGAAAAATATTTAGATGAAATATAGGCTATTCGATACAACTTTTTATGCTGATTCCGAATATCATGTTTGTTTTGCATCAAAATGAA